AGAGTACTATTCTATAGAACAAGTGTCTCCTATTCTGTGACACCTTACATTCCAGAACCCTTTTTACTAAGCAAACTAATTTTGCATATGACAATATTTACACTTCAGCATGTTCAAGACATGCTTCTCTTATCTGTGGCTATGGGCGGTCTATATAATAGTACTTCTATTCCATATATATTAATATTGTACTTATTTTATATGAATAAATGTGTCGAGAGAACAAGGAAAAAAGGGTAAAAAAAGCAATTTTGTTAAAACTGGAATAGAAAAGAAGTTATAATGATGAAAAGTTTCTGGTTTCTTTCATATTTTTAACATATTTCTGTTCACTTTTCGTTTGTTTGTTTAAAAAAAAATAATATGAAACTGTGTCAATAGTTTTAAGGTGGTACGAGTTATAGCATAAATTAAATAATAACAAGGAGTTTTCGACATAAATATTTTTGTGTTCGCTTTGTACTAGAATGTTTGGTATGTAGTAGCAACTCCTTTACTTTGTAGCAAAAGAATTAGTATGAACTCGCAGCACGATTTGTATTGAGGGAAAATAAACTGTAGCAAAACAACAACGAAAAAAAAAAAAAGAATTGACCGATATACAGTGAAGAGCAAAAGATATTTGAATATGTATAGAAGGTTTTAACATAAAATTATATAAATTAGTTTTGGAATCATGACAAAATGAAAACAGTAATTTTGAAACCAACAGAACGTATGATTGATATGGAATTTTAAAGAAAAATTTTAATGAGAATATCATTTCTAACTGATTTCAATAAAATTTTCTATACAAAAACTATCTTTAATAAAGATGATACTTTTCCTATGGAAAAACACTCTTCAAAGAAGATACTTTATATATAGAAAAATACTTCTCAAAGAAGACACTTTTTCTATAGAAAAACACTCTACAAAGAAGACACTCTTTCTATAGAAAACACTCATTAAAGAAGAAACTCTTTATATACAATAACACTCTACAAAGAAGACACTTTCTCGCTCGCTTCAAAGAAGACACATTTTCTTTACAAAACTCTTTTTAAAAATGACACTTTTCTATTTTGAAACCAACAGAACGTATGATTGATATGGAATTTTAAAGAAAAATTTTAATAAGAATATCATTTCTAACTGATTTCAATAAATTTTACAGAATTAGAGTAGATCAATAACTAAGTCCAGGTGTTGAATAACAAACTTATACCGCAACAAGTAACAGATGATTAATGAACAAAATTACCCCTATTGAGCAACTATACGCATGATTAATATTTAATTGCCAAACTGTCCATTGTAGTTCTTTAAAAACTCCCACTATCTATTTAATAATTGTCACCATTAAAAAAAAAACAAAACATTATTCCCCAAGGTTCATAATTATTTGTTTTATGATGATAATTTAAAACAAAAAAAAATATATGTGATTGTGATAAAAACAAAAACGCCCAATTAAGACAAAGATTATTAATAAAGTAGTGTTGTACTACATATGTAGTTATAAAAACTATAAAATTGTTTAAACAACTATAAAGTAACTTTATATGTAGATATTTAAAAAAATTGAAAACATTTTGCAAAAACAATTTATGGTTAATTAGGAAAAATGATAAGGTAATGCCATTTAAATTAAACCAAAATTTAAAGAAGAAACATTTTCTATAAAAAATCTGTCTCCAAAGAAGACAGTTTTGTCATAGAAAAAAGTCTCTCCAAAGAAAACTAATTTTCGATACATAAAATCTCTCCAAAGAGCCGTTTCGATAAGAAGAACACTCTTCAAAGAAAACACTTTTTTTGCAGGAGGTCTGTCTTCAAAGATGGAAAAACACACATCAAAGAGTACCTACACTTTTAGAAAATACCTTAAATTTTTCTATAGAAATAATCTCTTCAATAAAGACTCTAATTCTCTACAAGGTAGATACTTTTCCCATAGAAAAACGCTTTTCAAGCACACTTTTTCTATAGAAAAACACTCTTCAAAGAAGGCTCTTTTTCTATAGAGAAACTCTCTTCAGGGAAGATACTTTTTCTATACAAAAACTATCTTTAAAGAGTATACTTTTCCTATAGAGAAACACTCTTCAAAGAAGATACTTTATATATAGAAAAATACTTTTCAAAAAAGACACTTTTTCTATAGAAAAACATTCTTCAAAGAAGACACTCTTTCTATTGAAAAACAAAAAAGAAGACATTTTTTCCACAAAAAACTCTCTCCAAAGAAGACTACTTTTCTATAAAAAAACGTGTTTTTCTATAGAAGAACTCTTTGTTAAAAAGTGTGTTTTTCTATAGAAAAAGTCTTTGTTGAAAAGACTCTTTTTCTATAGAAAAAGTCTTTGTTAAAAAAGACTCTTTTTCTATAGAAAAAGTCTTTGTTGAAAAGATTCTTTTTCTATAGAAAAAAGTCTGCTAAAAAACTATTTTCTATAAAAAAAGAGTCTTTGTTAAAGACTCTTTTTCTACAGAAAAAGTCTTTGTAAAAATGTGTGTTTTTCTGTAGAAAAAGTCTTAGTTAAAAGGTGTGTTTCTATAGAAAAAATCTTTATTAAAAAGACCCTTTTTCTATAGAAAAAGTCTTTGTTAAAAAGACCCTTTTTCTATAGAAAAAGTCTTTGTTAAAAAGACTCTTTTTTTTTCTATAGAAAAAGTCTTTGTTAAAAAGACTCTTTTTCTATAGAAAAAGTCTTTGTTAAAAATACTCTTTTTCTTTAGAAAAAGTCTTTGTTAAAAAGAATCTGTTTCTATAGAAAAAGTCTTAGTTAAAAAGACTCTTTTCCTATAGAAAAAGTCTTTGTTAAAAAGACTCTTTTTCTAGAGAAAAAGTTTTTGTTAAAAAGACTCATTTTCTAGACAAAATGTCTTTGTTAAAAATGCTCTTTTTTCTATGGAAAAAGTCTTTGTTAAAAAGACTCTTTTTCCACAGAAAAAGTCTTTGTTAAAAATGCTCTTTTTCTAGAGAAAAAGTCTTTGTTAAAAATGCTCTTTTTCTAGAGAAAAAGTGTGGGTTTCTATAGAAAAAATTTTGTTAAAAAGTGTGTTTTTTTATAGAAAACGTTTTGTTAAAAAGTGTGGTTTTCTATAGAAAAAGTCTTTTTTAAAAAGACTCTTTTTCTATAGAAAAAGTCTTTGTCAAAAAAGACTCTTTTTCTATAGAAAAAGTCTTTGTTAAAAAAGATTTTTTTCTATAGAAAAAGTCTTTGTTAAAAAAGACTCTTTTTCTATAGAAAAAGTCTTTGTTAAAAAGGCTCTTTTTCTAGAGAAAAATGTGGTTTTCTATAGAAAAAGATTTTGTTAAAAAGTGTGTTTTTTATAGAAAACGTTTTGTTAAAAAGTGTGGTTTTCTATAGAAAAAGTCTTTTTTAAAAAGACTACTTTTCTATAAAAAAGTGTTTTTCTATAGAAGAAGTCTTTGTTAAAAAGTGTCTTTTTCTATAGAAAAAGTCTTTGTAAAAAAGTGTGTTTTTCTGTAGAAAAAGTCTTAGTTAAAAAGACTCTTTTCCTATAGAAAAAGTATTTGTCAAAAAGACTCTTTTTCTAGAGAAAAAGTTTTTGTTAAAAAGACTCATTTTCTAGACAAAAAGTCTTTGTTAAAAATGCTCTTTTTTCTATAGAAAAAGTCTTTTTAAAAAAGACTATTTTTCCACAGAAAAAGTCTTTGTTAAAAAGTGTGTTTTTCTATAGAAAAAGTCTTTGTTAAAAAGTGTGATTTTCTATAGAAAAAGTCTTTGTTAAAAAGTGTGTTTTTCTATAGAAAAAGTCTTTGTTAAAAAGTGTGTTTTTCTATAGAAAAAGTCTTTGTTAAAAAGTGTGGTTTTCTATAGAAAAAGTCTTTGTTAAAAAGTGTGGTTTCATATAGAAAAGTTTTTGTTAAAAAATACTCTTTTTGTATAGAAAAAGTCTTTGTTAAAAAGAATCTGTTTCTATAGAAAAAGTCTTAGTTAAAAAGACTCTTTTCCTATAGAAAAAGTCTTTGTTAAAAAGACTGACTCTTTTTGTATAGAAAAAGTCTTTGTTAAAAAGACTCTTTTTGTATAGAAAAATTGTTTGTTAAAAAGACTCTTTTTCTATAAAAAAAAGTCTTTGTTAAAAAGACTGTTTTCCTATAGAAAAAGTCTTTGTGAAAAAGACTGTTTTTCTAAAGAAAAAGTCTTTGTCAAAAATACTGTTTTTCTATAGAAAAAGTCTTGGTCAAAAAGACTGTTTTTCTATAGAAAAGTCTTGGTCAAAAAGTTTTGTTTAGTTTTTTTTAAGATTGTTAAAAATACTCTCCCAAAAGAGACACTTTCTCCCAAACAATTTTTGTGCCCAAAAACTGTATCAATATGCTCTTTATTTCACCATTGCTTTGTAACACAAAATGCCATTAGGGAACCATTGCAAAACAAATTATTCACAGTTAAAAACCTCAAGTGAAGAGTAAACAACAGCGGATACAGAACGAATACTAAACGAAAATTAATAGTAGTAATATTTCAAAAAAAAAAAAAAAATTATTAAAACTTAATTTTATTTTTATTACCAAAGTGTAATAATATAACATTAATAATAGCTCGATTTAAATAAAACAAAAAAAAAAAACTAAAGTACAGAGATAATCTTAATTGTATATAATAATGTTAATGTTAAAGTAATAACGTTTTTTTTATAATTATAAACAAATATGTATGAATATATTTGTGACGGGGTTGTTTTTGTATAGTGAATTATGCTCCAAAACGTTAATAGCAAAACAATTGTGTTTACCGGTTGATTATTTTTTAAAACGTTAAGAGAATTTGGGAATACAAGTTAAAGGTGGTTAATTGAAAACTGTTGGTGATAAAAATCGAAATTGTTTTTTAAATATTTAAATATAGATTTGTGCTGAGGTGTATTCAAAATTACTATATATGTTTCTGTTATATATTTGTTAATTTTTTTTCAGTTATTTTCAAACCCTTTTCTTTTATATTCTTTTATTAAACATTTTCGTAATTCATTTTTCATTTTAGGTTAAGAAAAATGTGTGAAAAATTTAAATGAATTTTCAATTGGAAAATTGGTTTCATCTGCTAACATGAGACGTCCAAAGATATCATTAAAGAAATATTTTTATTTTACAATAATATGCGCTTTATTGCTGATATTTTTATATAATTTTAAGTAAGTATTTTGAATGAAAATTTAAAAACAAAAACAAACAAATCCTTATTATCCTTTCTACAATTTAATACTTTTTACTTTCCCCACAGAGAACGTGAAGTATGGAAACCAAAATCTTCATCAATACCCTCCTTAGCTTCTTTATCAAATCAACAGCAACAACTGCAGCAACAATCGCAATCACAACAACAACATTTAGGACAAAATTTAGAGGATGACTATAATGATAAATACGAAGAAGACGAGGATACCGAGAAACCCTTAGACTCGGCAAAAACTCAAACACGTTTAAAAGCCTCCACAACTAAAACACCCCAACAACAGCAGCAGCAACATGCTGTCGGCATTCCAGCAGCCGAACAACAAGAAAGTGAAAGTGAGCATGAGCCTCATCTGCAACAATTGCAGCAACCACAAGCAAATAATTTAGCTTCCAATCCTGCGGATCCAGTATCGAAATCTTGGTTCTTTAAAAACGGTGAATACTATCCCAAACCGGCCAAAGTGCACAAAAAGAAACGTGGCAAAAAAGCCCATTTACAGGGTTCTAAACTGTTTCCCTATCAGGATCCCCACAATGATCGTATAGTCAATCAGTTGATGTATGTACCACCCAACTATGAGGAAATCAAAACGAGTGGTAAATTAAAAACTATTTTACTATATAATGGTTTGGGTCCGTGGAATGTTAAAGCAGGTGGGTTTTGTTAGGAAAAAATCTAGAGTTAAAATATTTTATTTTTTTTTCTATATATTCCTTATTTACAAGGTCGTGATGTCTTCCTACGCTCTAAATGTCCTGTGGACACATGTTCTATAACAGCCTCAAGAGATCAGGCTAATACAGCCGATATGATTCTTTATAAGGATCATTATATACCTACGGGTATACGTAGACCTGCCAATTCCAAGCAAGTCACTATGTTGTATTATCTAGAGTGTCCGTATCATACGCAAAATGTTAAGGTACCGGATGCTATAAATTGGACTGCTACTTATAGGTAAGTTATTAACTTTGAAGAGTGTTCTTATATAGAAACAGTCCCTTCTTTGATAAAAGGTTTTTCTATAGAAGAAGTGTCTTCTTTGAAGAGTGGTTTTCTATATAAAAAATGTCTTCTTTGGAGAGATGTTTTCTATAGAAAATTAGTCTTCTTTGAGGAGAGTTTTTATATAAAGTGTCTTCTTTGAAGACAGTTTTTCTATAAGAAAAGTATGTTCTTTGAAGTGAGTCTTATTCTATAGAAAAAATTGTCTACTTTAGAGAGATTTCTTTCATAGAATGAGTATTCTTTGAACAGAGTTTTTCTATGAAGAATCAGTCTTCTATTAAGAGAGTTTTACTGTAGAAAAGAAGTCTTCTTTGAAGAGAGTTTTTCTAAAGAAAAAGTGTCTTCTTTGAAGAGAGTTTTTCTATAGAAAAAGTGTCTTCATTGAAGAGAGTTTTTCTATAGAAAAAGTGTCTTCTTTGAAGAGAGTTTTTCTATAGAAAAAGTGTCTTCTTTGAAGAGAGTTTTTCTATAGAAAAAGTAGTCTTCTTCGAAGAGAGTTTTACTATAGAAAAGAAGTCTTCTTTGAAGAGAGTTTTTCTATAGATAAAGAGTCTTCTTTGAAAAGAGTTTTTCTAAAGAAAAAGTGTCTTCTTTGAAGATAGTTTTTCTATAGAAAAGAAGTCTTCTTTGAAAATAGTTTTTCTATAGAAAAAGTGTCTTCTTTGAAGAGAATTACTTCAAAATTAATCCCCAATATTTTTCTTTCAGACGTGATAGCGATATTGTGGCGCCCTATGAAAAATGGGTTTATTACGATTCACGCGTTCACCAACAAGAACAGGATCGTAACTACGCTGCAAATAAAACCAAAAAGGTGGCCTGGTTTGTATCCAATTGTGGGGCCCGAAATGGAAGACTGCAATTTGCTCATGAATTAGGCAAATATATAGATGTAAGTTTTTTATATATATATAAATTAAAAAGATTTATCGAATATAAACCTGCTCTTTCAGGTTGACATCTATGGCGCCTGTGGCAATTATAAATGCTCACGCGTTAATGCCGACAAATGTTTCGAAATGCTCGATCGTGACTATAAATTCTATTTAGCTTTCGAAAATTCCAACTGTAAAGACTATATCACCGAGAAATTCTTTGTCAATGCCCTCAATCGCAACATATTACCCATTGTTATGGGTGCACGACCCGAAGACTATGAAGTTAGTGCTCCCGAAAGATCCTATATACATGTCGATGAATTTGCTTCAGCTTCAGAATTAGCCGACTATTTGCATATATTAGATAATGATGAAAAACTGTATAATTCATATTTCAATTGGAAAGGTACGGGTGAGTTTATAAATACGTATTATTGGTGTCGTGTTTGTTCGTCTTTGCACGATGAGGAATCGTTACGTAAGCCACGCTGGTATACGGATGTAAATGATTGGTGGCGTGGTGCTGGTGTCTGTACAAATGGTTCGTGGCGTAATTTTAAGGCACGCAAAGATATTATTACCGATGATTGAGGAGCGGGAGAGAGTAAAGAAGGCGAAGGGGGAATGTAAGTAATTATGTGTAAAACAAAAATAAGTTGAAAATTATTGTTAAAAAAAGAGAAGTAAAGAAAATATTCGGGTAATAAAAAAAGAAAACATTGTCTCCCAGAATACAAGTTTTTCTATAGAAAAAGTATTTGATGAAAAGAATATTTCTCTAAAGAAAAAATTTCTTTAAAGAAAGTCTTTGTTAAAGAGACTCTTTTTCAACAGAAAAAATCTTTGTTAAAGTGTATTTTTCTATAGAAAAAATCTTTGTTAAAAAGTGTATTTTTCTATGGAAAAAAGTCTTTGTTAAAAAGACTCTTTTCTATAGAAAAAATATTTGTTAAAAAGACTTTTTTTCTATAGAAAGTTTTTGTTGAAAAGACTATTTTTCTGTGGAAAAAGTCTTTGTTAAAAAGACTCTTTTTCTATAGAAAAAGTCTTTGTTGAAAAGACTCTTTTTCTATAGAAAAAGTCTTTGTTGAAAAGTGTATTTTTCTATAGAAAAAGTCTTTGTTGAAAAGTGTATTTTTCTATAGAAAAAGTCTTTGTTAAAAAGACTCTTTGTTAAAAAGACTCTTTTCTATAGACTCTTTTTCTATAGAAAAAGTCTTTGTTAAAAAGACTCTTTTTCTATAGAAAAAGTCTTTGTTAAAAAGACTCTTTTTCTATAGAAAAAGTCTTTGTTAAAAAGACTCTTTTTCTATAGAAAAAGTCTTTGTTAAAAAGACTCTTTTTCTATAGAAAAAGTCTTTGTTAAAAAGACTCTTTTTCTATAGAAAAAGTCTTTGTTAAAAAGACTCTTTTTCTATAGAAAAAGTCTATGTTAAAAATACTTTTTTTCTAAAGAAAAAGTCCTTGTTAAAAACTATTTTTCTATAGAAAAAGTCTTTGTTGAAAAGACTCGTTTCTACAGAAAAAATCTTTGTTAAAAAGTCTCCTTTTTTATAGAAAAAGTCTTTGTTAAAAAGACTCTTTGTTAAAAAGACTCCTTTTCTATAGAAAAAGTCTTTGTTAAAAAGACTCCTTTTCTATAGAAAGTCTTTGTTAAAAATACTCTTTTTCTATAGAAAAAGTCTTTGTTAAAAAGACTCTTTTTCTATAGAAAAAGTCTTTGTTAAAAAGACTCTTTTTCTATAGAAAAAGTCTTTGTTAAAAAGACTCTTTTTCTATAGAAAAAGTCTTTGTTAAGAAGACTCTTTTTCTATAGAAAAAGTCTTTGTTAAAAAGACTCTTTTTCTATAGAAAAAGTCTTTGTTAAAAAGACTCTTTTTCTATAGAAAAAGTCTTTGTTAAAAAGACTCTTTTTCTATAGAAAAAGTCTTTGTTAAAAAGACTCTTTTTCTATAGAAAAAGTCTTTGTTAAAAAGAATCTTTTTCTATAGAAAAAGTCTTTGTTAAAAAGAATCTTTTTCTATAGAAAAAGTCTTTGTTAAAAAGAATCTTTTTCTATAGAAAAAGTCTTTGTTAAAAAGAATCTTTTTCTATAGAAAAAGTCTTTGTTAAAAAGACTCTTTTTCTATAGAAAAAGTCTTTGTTGAAAAGTGTATTTTTCTATAGAAAAGGTCTTTGTTAAAAAGACTCTTTTTCTATAGAAAAAGTCTTGGTTAAAAAGACTATTTTCCTAAAGAGAAAGTCTTTGTTAAAAGGACTATTTTTCTATAGAAAGAAGAAGAACCTTTTCTATAAATTTAATGGATTTTCCCGGATTTATAACTAAATTTTGAAAGCATTTACTTTTTCCCTAATTATTTTTAAATTATTATTTGTGATCTTCTGTATGTATGTAAAATTATTTTAATTTCTAACGGTAGATTTTAAGGAAAAAAAAAACAAAAATTATATTTAAAAGATCAATTTTATAGATTTTAGGATTTTAGTTAAAATTTAAAACAAAAAAACAAAAGCTTACAAAATGGAAAGATTATAATTACACATTGAAAATGAAAATATGTTTTATTTAACAATATCAGAAAAGGCTGTAAAAGCAAAAGCGCACATTTGGGTGTTTTTTTTTTAATTAGAGAAAAAAACAACAACATGACTGAAAACATATAATTTGAAAGTCTTTAATAAAATAAAAAAATAAAACATTTTGTAAATAGCTTCTCTTCATAACAACAGGCAGGTTATGTTAAGCTTAATTTGAGTTAAAATTTAAAACCAAAAACCTGCATTAAAATTTTTGAATGTAGAAAAAAAGCTAAAAAATATTTGTTTAAAAAAAAAAAAAAAACTAAAATAAAATAATGAATAAAATAAAAATTGCCATGTTTTATAGAAGTTTTGTAAAATATTATAATAACTAAAAAAAAAAACAACAAAATCAAACAATTAAAATATCACATAAAAAAAGAAAAGTTCTTAAGAGTTTATAAACAAGACAACAAAACAAAAACCAATCAATTAACAGGGAATTACACACACCTGCTTTTAAAAGTATAAAAAACAACACATCCAAACAGACAAACAGGCTTTGAAATTAAAGCCTCTATCCAAAAACAAAGGCCCCCCCCCCCAACTCAAGCTGTAATTCCTTTTTAACTCTTAATTTTTAATTTTGTTAACAATTTTCTAATTTCTATTTGCAAATTGAATTCTAACACTCGCATCTTTAAACAAATCGTAAGAAATCTTTTTATTTAAATTTATAACTAAATAATTAAGAAAAAAATATGCAGAAAATAAAAAAACTATTCCTAATATTAACAAAAAAGTATTTGCCACAAGAATATAATAAGCAAGTTGTATTATTTAACAGTATTTAGCTAAAAAAAAAACAAAGCAAAATATTTTTTAAGCTTCATTGTAATTACCTAAGTTTGTTGTTATTTATGTTTTATTATAAATAATTTAAATTTAAATTCTATGTGTTATTTATTTAATTAATTATTTTTTATTTTTTTACTGTGATAAACAAAAAGAAAGATGAATTAAATAAATTATAAAAAAATGAAATTGTTTTTTGAAATAATAGAAAATTGGAATTAGACTAGACAATAAAGTATACTATAGACTAGGTTATAGGTTAGACTATAGACTAGACAATAGACTAGAATATAAACTAGACCATAGACAAGACTATAAACTAGATTATAGACTATAGAATAGACTAAGACTACTATAGACTAGACTATAGACTAGGCTATAGACTAGACTATAGACTAGGCTATAGACTAGACTATAGAACAGATTATAAACTATACTATAGACTAGACTAGACCAGGCTATAGACTAGACTATAGACTAGACTATAGACTAGACTATAGACTAGACTATAGACTTGACTATAGACTAGACTAAAGACTAGACTAAAGACTAGACTATAGACTAGACTATAGACTAGACTATAGACTAGACTATAGACAAGACTATAGACTAGACTATAGCCTAGACTATAGACTAGACTATAGACTAGACTATAGACTAGACTATAGACTAGACTATAGACTAGACTATAGACTAACTAGACTAGAATAGACTAGACTATAGACTAGACTATAGACTAGACTATAGACTAGACTATAGACTAGACTATAGACTAGACTATAGACTAGACTATAGACTAGACTATAGAACATATTATAGACTAGACTAGACTATAGACTAGATTATAGACTAGACTATAGACTAGACTATAGACTAGACTATAGACTAGACTATAGACTAGACTATAGACTAGACTATAGACTAGACTATAGACTAGACTATAGACTAGACTATAGACTAGACTGTAGACTAGACTATAGACTAGACTATAGACTAGACTATAGACTAGACTATAGACTAGACTATAGACTAGACTATAGACTAGACTAGACTATAGACTAGACTATAGACTAGACTATAGACTAGACTATAGACTAGACTATAGACTAGACTATAGACTAGACTATAGACTAGACTATAGACTAGACTAGATAGACTAGACTATAGACTAGACTATAGACTAGACTATAGACTAGACTATAGACTAGACTATAGACTAGACTAGACTATAGACTAGACTATAGACTAGACTATAGACTAGACTATAGACTAGACTATAGACTAGACTATAGACTAGACTATGACTAGACTATAGACTAGACTATAGACTAGACTATAGACTAGACTATAGACTAGACTATAGACTAGACTATAGACTAGACTATAGACTAGCTAGACTAGACTATAGACTAGACTAGACTATAGACTAGACTATAGACTAGACTATAGACTAGACTATAGACTAGACTATAGACTAGACTATAGACTAGACTATAGACTAGACTATAGACTAGACTATAGACTAGACTATAGACTAGACTATAGACTAGACTATAGACTAGACTATAGACTAGACTATAGACTAGACTATAGACTAGACTATAGACTAGACTATAGACTAGACTATAGACTAGACTATAGACTAGACTATAGACTAGACTATAGACTAGACTATAGACTAGACTATAGACTAGACTATAGACTAGACTATAGACTAGACTATAGACTAGACTATAGACTAGACTATAGACTAGACTATAGACTAGACTATAGACTAGACTATAGACTAGACTATAGACTAGACTATAGACTAGACTATAGACTAGACTATAGACTAGACTATAGACTAGACTATAGACTAGACTATAGACTAGACTATAGACTAGACTATAGACTAGACTATAGACTAGACTATAGACAGACTATAGACTAGACTATAGACTAGACTATAACTAGACTATAGACTAGACTATAGACTAGACTATAGCTAGACTATAGACTAGACTATAGACTAGACTATAGACTAGACTATAGACTAGACTATAGACTAGACTATAGACTAGACTATAGACTAGACTATAGACTAGACTATAGACTAGACTATAGACTAGACTATAGACTAGACTATAGACTAGACTATAGACTAGACTATAGACTAGACTAGACTAGACTATAGAACAGATTATAAACTAGACTATAGACTAGACTATAGAACAGATACTATAAGACTAGACTATAGACTAGACTATAGACTAGACTATAGACTAGACTATAGACTAGACTATGGACTAGACTATAGACTAGACTATAGACTAGACTATAGACTAGACTATAGACTAGACTAGACTATAGACTTGACTATAGACTAGACTATAGACTAGACTATAGACTAGACTATAGACTAGACAATAGACTAGACTATAGACTAGACAATAGACTAGACAATAGACTAGACTATAGACTAGACTATAGACTAGACTATAGACTAGACTATAGACTAGACTATAGCCT